AGTCCTCTTTCATGTAGCCCTGAGACAGTCTGCAGAGCCTCATGGGTCTGTAGACCACAGGTTGAAAACTGCTGTGCTAGACCACTGCACTGTTTATCCTGCTTCTAGTTTGAGAGGCAGCCTTCATGGAGAAACACAGCATGTCTGGAGGCACCAGTAGGCACGATAGGTTGTGCAGGCATGGCCTTAAACGCATACTTAGATTTAGACCTCTTCCTACTGAGCAGTGCTTTTGAACATGTACTTAACTGTATGCACATCCCTAAGTCACATTAGGACTTAGACATGCACTCCAGTGCTTTGGCAAATCAGACCCTTTCTCAAGAATAACACAGATGAATTGCATTTGGAAGGAACTGCCTTCTTGTGCAGAATTGCAAAATTAAATATGTATAAAGCAAAGAAGTAAAAACATATTCTCCACCACCCAACAAAGTACTTGTGCAGGTTTACAAGGGCCTTTGGAACATGGACAGGCTACATTATCATCTGATTTGCATTACTGGTGGAAAAAGCACGTAACTACATCGGATTGTGCCTTTAACGTAAACATAACTTATTACCTTGGGACTTATGTATAAAGGTTATTCATTTACAATTCGTTCATGTTTCCAGGCCCAGCTCAGGTGTACCGGAGCTCAGTTGTGAGCTGGACAGTCACAAATACAAGGTCTACAGCTGCAAAAGCACTTTCTGCTCAACATCACTGGCAGCTTAACTGAACCACTGACAAAAGGATCCAACTCTGGGTGATCCTAGAGAAAGCATTGTTTTGCCCGTTTGCATTCGTAAAAACAGGGATAAATCTCTTGATGGATACAAGAACTGCAACAAAGGTGAGCTTGAAAACCTGATTATCAATGCTACATTTCTGTTGAATTAGTGATTCTACACTGGGACTTCTGAGTGACTGGAAGTGTGGCTGGAGATCACAGAGGGAAGAATTAGGGTGACCTACCAATATCAGTCCTCATAGTGGGATGTAAATCCTCAGATCATTCAATAAATAGGACAACAGATCGTACACACAAGCCAACAATATACAGGATTATAATGGAATATAATGAGCCACAAAAGTGCTATCAATGTGTTCTACCATATGTTCAAGAGGAACGGATTCCAGCATCGTTCTCTTTGGACATGAGTCTCAAAACTGGAGTGTTAGTTGCCCCAGCATGTCATCTCATTACATTTACTGCTGCCCGTGCACCCGTGGTCCTTCCAACAGGATTTTACTCGAGCTCAGGTGGGATTTACGGAAGATAACACACTTCTTGGTGACTGACAATCTGCCTCACTTTGGCACAGTGCTAATAAGAAAAAAATAAAAAGCTGTAGGCTGTATTTTTTTAGAGCCAATTCAAACTCGAAGTTTTGGCAGAAGCTGTGCTTCAAAGACACCACCGTTTGGAAGCAAACAATGTACCGCAACAGAGATGAGGAATGCCTTCGTAGGCTAGCTTATACGATTTCAGCAAGTGGATTCACAGCTGTAATTGCAACTAAAAGCCCCACATGAATGGTGATTGATTTTTGTCTTCTATTTGACTCGTATCCTAAATTGCCCTGGGGGAACTGACTTCTGTGTATGTTCAGAGGTAAAGCCTACCTTATCACTGTCCACTGTGTTTTGTGAGGTCCTGGATGCAATGGAAATGGTGTCGGGCTGACTGCTACCATCTCCTTGGCTGTCCGCATCTTCTATTCCATCTCTGCAGGGAGACAATGGGAAAACAACCTGGTTTACACTAGCCCCGAGGAGCACAAAACGTTGTAGCTGGACCTGAGAAGTGCCGACTCAGCACATTAGAGCAAGATTGGTGCAAAGATTACCCCACTGATAGAGTTTGTGTTACTACCCGCCGTGTAATTTAAAATGACGTCGCTTCTGCCATAAGGTTAGGATTAGCACATAATGACTAGGTTGCTGGAAGCAGAGTGGCCATTGCTTGAATATTTACAGCAGCCAAGGCCCATGTTCCTAGGAATAGCTCCATAATGAAGGTGCAAGGCAGATATTTCACTTAACTTAGATTTCTCACTTAACCAAAACAAGTCATCCAAATTATAGCATTGCTGTTTGTTACCCTGCACAGAAATGGCCTTTCTGCAGCCTCACGGTAACCCACATTTTCAGGGATTTAAAAACAAGCCATGAAGATGATAGGATTGTCTTTCAGACGATAAATAAAGAAACTATAGATCAGTCTTGCTGGCACGGAGCATCTCTTTCTTGCCTGAAATTCCTTTTTTTTTTGCATTTCTGGTTTCTCTGCTGTTCTCAGTTTTGAAGAAAGTCTTTGTTGAAACAAGTATTCAAGAAACAATCCTTCTTCTGAAAGTTCTGCTACATTTGGCATGACTTCGGGGCCGCAAAAGAGAACTCCTAAGTCCTTGCATAATCTCACAAAAGTCTGCGATGAGAAAAATGACCTAGGCCCCTAGGAGCTGATCTGGGGTTCACTTCCCAGCTCTGCCACCGAGTTCCTGGAGGACCTTGAGCAAATCACTTTGCCTTTGGGTGCACAGTTCCACATCTCTAATAGGGGGATAATAGCACTAGCCAAGGTCATGGGAAGTTATGATGGTAAGTACACTAAATATTTATGAGATGCTCGAATCCCTCTGTGATAGCGGCCATGTAAAGAACAAAAACATACTGCTTCTGTATGTACTCATAGGGTCTAGTTTTGAGGCTCTTAACTGTGGGAGGGAGCCTTCATTAGCACAACACTGGAAACGGTTTAATTCATGTAATTTATCTAATCGAGTATTCAAAATAGTCTGCAAAGTCTCGTTATTTCTCAGTGTCTAAACCAGCTCATCCTTGATCGTGATATGAATATTCTCAAGTTCATCCACATACTTATGCTTTTCACTGGCTAGCAGCACAAGAAACTGTGTATTCCTTTCCTTTGTTCAAATGCTTGATTGTGACAATCTGCTTGGGGCAACATCAGCATGAGAAATATCCTTTGATTTAATTGAGAATTCATATTCTGTTCTAGCAGTTAATTCATTACTTGATTGCGAATAGTTTGGGACCAGGGAGATGGTACATATTTTTGCATAAATGTTGCCTGACTAGCTCCCACACAAAAAGGTTTCATGAAGTTTGCCCACAATTTCACAGACAGAAAAATAGCCAAATTTGTGGAAAGTGGGTTTAACTGCAGTATAAATTCTAAGTGAATCCAGTGCAGGGACGGGCAAAATGCAGCCCACGGGTCGGATGCGGCCCTCCAGGCCATTCTATGCACCCTGCGGGGCCCCCCAAAAATTTAGAAAATTAATATTTATCTGCCCTTGGCTGCCTGTCATGCAGCCCTCAATGGCTCGCCAAAACTCAGTAAGCGGCCCTCCGCCCAAAATAACTGCCCGCCCCATATCCAGTGAAAAGCGAAGGGTGGTTATACACATACAGGGAGGCTGCTCCAGTGCACTGTAATTACAGCACTTCAGAGCAAACTTCATTCATCAGCTAATTAGCATGCTAATTAACGTGCTCCAGCCAGCCTTCGTGTCTCATGTATCAGTGCCCCCACACTTCAAAATGGAGGCAGGGACACTTGAACTAAAGCTCGTTCAATAAGCTCTAGTTTAAGCGCCCCCAATGTGTTTTGGAAAGCGCTCAACTAATAGTCTTTATTTTTTTCACTTGTACAGATCGAGCCGTTTACAGATCCTCTATTCAAAGGACTAATGGGAGCAAACCTGCTCTGGTGAAGTAAGTAATCCCACCAGAAATTGGACACACAACGCATCAGAGAAGGCTGGCTGGCAAGATGGAGGTTACCTTTTACTGTTGTTTCTCTGCTTTGCTGGTGTCTTCGGGAGCTGGATTGGTTCCTTCAAAGCTCCTTTCAAATGGATAATCCTTTCTTGAATGACTTCCCGGATATTTTTGATCCATTCCTGTTTTGTTTCAATACTGGATGCCTAAAGTCCCAAAAGCAAAAGAAGACACACTTTATTATATATTTGGCATGTTTTCCCCCATATGGAGAAGAGCCTTGATTTGGTACTGCAAATGTATGATTAATTGTTTTCGTGTTGGTTCTCCACTTCCATCGTCCTGAGATACTTAGTAAACTACACAGAACTGGAGGTATATTTTTGTCAGACCTACTGCTTGGCAAGTAAGAGCAGAAGTAGTTAAGCTTTGGACATGTATATTTAATACTAAAAATACAACGTGTTGCATGGAGGGAAAATGAGTTATCAGTGTAGAGTTAGGGTTTCTCAAAGGTAAGTGTTTGTTTAAACGTCAGTTAACATACATGACTATCCTGTGTGTAGGCTTGGTGAAAAGCACAACTGTTAACAAATCCAGTGGTAATGAACTGAGCACAATCGCAGTCCTCATGGCGATACAACGTGAAGTCAGAAGACTTGCAGCCTCTCAATTCAATGATTGCAGTGGGCAGAGGACTGCAGTGAGACCGGGCAGCCACAGAACTGGACCCCCTTGATCCATGTTATAGTACAGGTTTCCCTTAATTTACTCGGTACGTGTTCCCAGAGAACAGCGCAAAAATCAAATTCACATACAGCAAACCCACTTTACAGTGTAATAAATAGGGATAGGTTCCCATGCCGGTGAGAGAGGGAGGGAGGGAGTGAGGCTGGGACTAGGGAAGGGGTGGGGGGAGGGGTGCCGCTCCTGGGGCTGCACAAGGCAGCAAAGCAGAGGGAACAGGCATTCACCCCAGCCCCAGCTGCAGCGGCCCCGGGAGCGGCCGACTCCAGCTGCCTGCAGCCGCTGTGCTGCACTGTGTCCTGGTGCAGGCGGCTGGTGTCAGCTGCT